TTTGAAGAGGCTGAAGTGGGTCCGAGGAGGGACAGGAGTGAGAGAATGTGGCTGCTCTACTCTGTGGGCTCCTGTGAGGTGAGGTGAGTCAGGGCATAGGACAGAAGGCCTGTGTGGCTGGCCATGGGCTGCCGTTTGACTATGAGATGCTTCTGATGCCCTCCTGGGTTTGAACACTTGGGTCCCCCTGGTGGGGCTGCTTTGGGGGACTGTGGAACCTTTGGAAGGTGGCGTCTTGAGACTTGAGCCTCTGGCCAGACTTCTGGCCTATTCTCTGAGTCCTGATTACAGATGTATTGTGACCAGCCATGAGCAACCGGAAGCAATGCCTCCTCTACCATGATAGATGGTGCTCTTTTTTTTTTATTTTTATTTTTATTAATTACAATTTATTCACTTTGTATCCTCCTTGTAGCTCCTACTCTCCCTCCCCCTCTCTACCCATGCTCCTCCCCCAGTCCACTGCTAGGGGAGGTCCTCCTCTCCTTCCTTCTGATCCTAGTCTATCAGGTCCCATCACGAATGGATGCGTTGTCTTCCTCTGCGTCCTGGTAAGGCTGCTCCCACATCAGGTGACGGTGATCAAAGAGCAGGCCAATCAGTTCCTGTCAGAGACAGTCCCTGTTCCCATTACTATGGAACCCAATTGGACACTGAATTGCTATGGGCTACATCTGTGCAGGGGTTCTAGGTAATCTTGAATGGTCCTTGGTTGGAGTATCAGTCTCAGAAAAGACCCCTGTGCCCAGATTTTTGGTTCTGTTGTTCTCCTTGTGGAACTCCTGTCCTCTCCAGGTCTTACTATTTCCCACTCCATTCGTAAGATTCCCTGCACTCTGCCCAAAGGTTGGCCATAAGTCTCAGCATCTGCTTTGATACCCTGCAGGGTAGAGTCTTTCAGAGGCCCTCTGTGGCAGGCTCCTGTCCTGTTCCCTGTTTTTTCCCTCTTCTGACTAGATGGTATTCTTAAACTGTGAGCCAAGATAGGCCCTTCCTCCCTTAAGTCGCTTCCTCCTTGGAGATACTGATAGCGCAGGGACCAACCATCATTCGGCATAAATCGCCTGGTTCTCATACTGTGCCTGTCTTCATCTTCCTGTGCCCATAGCTGGGCCACGTTTCTTAGATTCTTCTGCAGTCAGGTGAAGCCATATAACCAAGTTCTAGCCCAACAAGTATACCTAGAAGAGAGACTTATTTCCAAGCTGAGCCCATAGCAACCTCTTGTAGGACCCTCTACATTCTCTTTCTACATTTGCTGGAAGACACCCTAGGGCTGCAACAAGGGGTGCTCAAAGATGGAAGTATCCTGGTACCCCCGTGAACACTTAGTAGAAAATGCTGTGCGGACAGTTCCGTGAGCAGTGAACCCATTGTTATTATGTTAAGGCGTTGCAGTGTTGGAGGCATGTCTGTAACGGCACTTACCCTACTCTCATAGAAGCCACTGTAATGGCTGCTATTTATTGGGCCCTGTCTCAATTTATTCATGCAACCAGCCTACGGAGTGGGGCCCTTTCCATATATTAGTAGAGGAAACTGGAGCCATTCTGGCAACAGTTGAAGAACAGACTATTTTGCTCCCAAAATCAGACTCAAGTACTAAACTAGGCTGCACTGGCTCCCAGTGGGATAGGAATGGCTGGAAATGAAGTAGACAAGGGGACTGGATGAGGAGTTCACTACAGCATTATTAGCTGGGAGCCTGATATTGCCTGTGCTGGTTGAGAGGGAGTCTGAGGGGCTCACTGAAGAATAGGCCTGATGGCAGGCACATAGTTAGCGCTGGTATTATGTATGTACACAGGTGTGTGTGTGTGTGTGTGTGTGTGTGACAGCTTTCATGTGGAAAGCCTTGTGTGTTATTCCTCATCTTCCACCTTGTTCCTTCCAGACAGGGTCTTTGCTTACTGGATGTTGTCTACACAAGGCCAACCAGCCCACTCCTGTCTGGGGAGTCTCTTGCCTGGGCCTCCTGCCCTGCCTCTCCCTCTCTGCACTAGAATTATGGCTCGCTGGACCACCTTAGGCTTTATGTGAATTCTGGGGATTCAGACTCAAGTTTTATGCTTAGACGGCCAAGGACTTTACCCACTGAGCCATCTCCCCATTCCTAGTTTGAGTTTTAAAAACAAGAAGTGGAGCTGGTCTGGGAGGAAACGGGAGAGAATTGTTCCGGAAGCTCCACCGGGAGGATGCTCGGTGACTATCTTATCTTGCTGTTCCCAGGGCCACAGAAGGAAGGCTGAAGAAGCATCCCGATGTTGGGGTAGAGGGAGGCAGGAAACAGGATGGGAGATAAACAGCATGAAAGCGGGGCCTAACCCACTGGCCATGCAAAGATGCTTAGGGGAGGCCTGTGTCCTGGCCCTTCCCCGCCAGGCAGGCAGCACACCTCTGTCTGTGATGTATCGACTTTTGCCCTGGGGTGGATACTTTTAATCTGTACTGCCTGCGTTCATGTTCTTTAGTCTCTTTGTGTCTCCTTTAATCATCTGAAAGTAAGGACAATGAGTAACAGCACTAAGCTCAGGGCTGTTGGGAAGAGATTCAGTGTGCTTGTGAGACCGGCTGTGTAGTGTGCTATTGGTAAGTGGTCGAAAAGGTCATTAAACTCTGAGTCTTTGATGTCAATCCTCGACCTCCACACACAATCAGATCAGAGCCCTCAGCCTAGCGGAACCCTGAAACTCAACAGTTAAGGCAGTGATGGACTCGCAGCAGCTATTTAAGTATTTGTGAGACAAAGAAGGAGGCACACTGTCCCTTCTCTCTCTCTCTCTCTTCCTCCCTTCCTCCCTTCCTCCCTCAGTCCTTCTGTTAGTCTCTTGAAAGCTAATGGAATGTAGTTGAGTTTATAGAGTCTTTTCTTCCAATAGTGGTAAAGTGTATGTAACACAGGATGTACCAATGTATCGTAAGAATACAGTTTAGTGGCATCAAATATCCTCAACGATATCCATCCATCTCTACCATTCATCTCTAGAAATGTTTTCACTTCCCCAACAAAAACTCAGGCCCTACTAAACACTAACTCACTCTCCTCCATGCTCTGGAAAGTGATTTATTTATTTATTTATTTGTTTGTTTGTTTGCTTGTGTGTGTGTGTGCTTTTCTGGAAGTCAGAGGACAACTTGCAGGGGTTGGCTTTCTCCTTCCACCATGTAGGTCCTGGAGATCATATTCAGTTACCAAGCTTGGAGAAAAACTATTTTTACCCACCAGGCTGACCTCAGTTCCTACTTCAAAAAAAATTTTTTTTAAAAAAAGACAAGACCTCATATAGCCAGGATGGCATCAAACTTTCTGTGTAGCTAAGGATGACCTTGCCCTCTCCTGAGTTCACCTCTTGCGTGCTGAGATTACAGGTGTGTATAACCATGTCTGTTTCTACGTCGTGATAAGGAGAGGGCACGCCACCAAACTGAGCCCCATCCTGGCCACGTTCATCTTTTTGTATTTATAAATCTGACTATCTGGGTACCTTACATAAGTCAAATTGCACTGTCCTCTTGTGACATCTCACTCTTCCTATAATCATAGGCTATGTCATCAAGAAAAAGTGCTTTCTCTTCTGTGGCATGCTGTAAAAAGAGTTCGTCATGCAATGTTTGCCAGGTGAGAGTGAAACAATATATACAAGGCTCTTAGCCAGTTCCTGACACATAGAAAGGTGCAGTGTAACACCCAACTATGTATTCTATGTATTGATGGACGTACGCACTGTTTTATATGGGTATTGTGGGAAAGGTTTTCCCAATGGAAGTGTAGCTCTGAAGGGAAAGATTCTCCCAGTGCAAGTGTTTCAGCTCTGCTGGGCAGGGGGGATTTCCCCGATGCAAGTGTTACTGCTCTGAAGGGAAAGGTATCCTGGCAGTTGGGAGCCATGAAATACCACAAAATCACAGCACACAACAAGCCTCATACAAGAGATTTATTGAAAGGGGAAAACCCAGGAGGGCGGCTACCTCTGCTTGGGTGAGATGCAGGAGATAACTGAGCTTATATAAAACAGGGTTTATATAGGGTTTTTGGCGGGTGAGGGAGAGCTTTCCAGGGTGGAAATTCCAGAGTGAAGATTAGTGAATTTCAAATCCTGAGCTTGGGCTTTTTGCCCCGTAGAGCAGAGCTTGGCCACTTGAGTCTGGAGGGGCTGGGCCCAGCTGTTATGGCAGCTAGAGTCTTCTTGTGGGCAGAACCTGCTGGTTGGAGGTCCTCAGGGGCGAGGCCTGGCCACTTGTGCACTATGAGGGGTTTATAGGGCTTTTTGGAACGAATGAACTCTGGCATTTTCTAAGGTGTCTGGAACTGTCTTGATCCCTTTTCATATATTCACTCGCTGAAACCTTGTAAGGATGCCATGACATTGGCCCAATCAATGTCTTTTGTGGATGAAACAGTGAAGGTGAAGAGACTTCAGTTGTACTCAGTTACATGGTTAGCTCCTGGCTTATACAAGCTGAGCTTGGGGGGGGGGTGTCAACGGGGACACTATGAGCTGAGAGGAGCATCTCACTGATGGTGCCCTGGCTTCGAGCCTAAGAGGCTGCAAGTCCCACCTAACGCCAGGTTTCCAAAGTCACCAGCTTTACCATACACAACGGTGCTGCACTGTCTCTACTGCCTCAGGCACCCAGAGCTCCTTGTCTGGACACACAGCTGGGTCAGGTGATCAGGGTGAGTATAGAAAGGGTCCTAGGTTGGAAGAAGGCCCATGGAGAGAGTGGGACAATAATGACGGAGTTGGCTGTTACTGAGTGTGCAATTCTCTCCTGGTGGGGCCTTCCTTATGCCTGTGCACATGTGCCGGCCACCTTTGGACCCTGGAGAGATGAGGCACCATGGAGGGGGCCTGGAGTATGCTCTGCACGTGATGTAAGCAGGCCACGCCTTTCCTGTTGCTGGCCCTAAGCCCAGCAATCATTGATCCCATGTGGCCCTTGCCCTGTTGAGATTAGAAAAAAAAAAAAGTTTATTCTTCTGGGCCACCTCCCTTCCAGGCTTTATTGCTTTCTGGACACCTTTGGTGAACATCCGCAGTCCTTTAAAAGTGCAGAGTCTAGCGGACCAGTCTGAGTCCCAGAGATAAGTGTGGGCACTCTGGTGCAGCCGGTGCTGCTCCTGGTAGCTCTGGCTTGGACCTTTTCAAGAGCTGATGTCTGGGGAGGTGAGTTTGTTGCCTGGGCAAGGGCACTGAGGATGTGTCCAAGGCTGGGGATGGGGGCTTCTGTCTGGGGGCTTCTGCTGCCTGTGTTTCCTCTCCTTTTCCCCGCGGCAGGCACCGATGTGTGATATGGACCTGAGTGACGGCAAGGTGAAGGAGACCAGTGTGGCTGGCAGATGCCGTGTGTCCTGGTATGAGCAATACGTACAGCCATGTGTGGTGGAACTTCTGGGCTCTGCCCTCTTCATTTTCATCGGGTGTCTATCAGTCATCGAGAACAGTGCAAACACTGGACTCCTGCAGCCTGCCCTGGCTCACGGGCTGGCCTTGGGGCTCATCATCGCTACACTGGGGAATATCAGGTGAGACCAGACCCTAGCATTTAGCCTAATGTCAATCTGGGAAGCACTTGGCCAACCACTCGGGGTCCTACAAATGTGCTGGTGGGGCCAGCTAGCTCTGCAGCCAGTGAATTCTGTGGGCAGGCTGCTCTCTAAGCCTACTAAATGGGAATAATACTGTTGCTATATTTTAAAGTTATTTTTTGAGCCAGCACTCCTCTTTTGCTCACTTTGCCCCTGCTCTATACCGAGCACTCTTTAGATAACATTGTAGTCTCTGGACAAACTTACGGAATAGGTTCTGTTATTTCCCCTGTTTTATATTTGCGGAAGATGATGCCCACATCACCGATACGAGGTGTGTGCCTCGCATATGGAGCCACGCATCAAATTCAAGCAGTCTGGCTCTACTGCCCAGAGCTGAGTGTCTGAGGGGAAAGGAGCTTTTGGGGTGCTCAGCACTCACAGCTGTTGCTGGGACCCTTTGGAAGTAGATCAGGAAAAGTAAAGAGGGGTTTGTTTGTTTGTTTGTTTGTTTGTTTTTAGGAACAGAAAGATGACCCTTCTTTTGCTTGGCTTTTATCTTGCTAGGAGCTCAGTGGGATGGGTTGAGGGGAGGCGGGCCTTTTCCTAAAAGAGCCAACTGTAATGGTGGATATCCCCCTTGGGGCATCTGACTGGGTGAACTGGAATAGCGCTGTCCTCTATTTAATCTCATTCAAAACCAGATATGGGGGAGGACAGTGCCATACTGTTCTCTAGAAAGAGAGAATGGACACTATCTCTTTAAACGTGCAAGGGAGGTGGTGAGTGAGATGGAAAGCATGTGACCTTCTACCTAGGGAGGCCTGGTGGCCAAAGCGAGCCTCTGAGCCTGGGTACAGTCGTGTGATGTGGAAGATGACAATAGCCGGTGTTCAGTAAAGCCACACAGAGATGCATGCTGAATACACACCAACATCTTGGTTTTGCAGTCTGCTGTGTGGGCTGCTGAGAGGGCACCTGGCCACATTTCTGGAGGGCCAGAGCAAGCCCTCAGAAGTCTGGGGGTGGGGGGGGGAAATGCATGGATGTTCTCCCTATGTTTGTCTCCAAGGCCACCGAGGGCCTGGTTTTAGGGCCTGCTCCACCCATCCCCAGCTCCCTCTGTCCCTCTCACCTCTCACAAATCTCTTTGTGGAAAGTGGGAGAGATTTGCCGCATTTCTGCTAATGGCAGGGCCCTCGGGCCCAGCTTGGGGGACAGACTGAAGTACGCATTCTCAAGGCACATTCCCTGCGGTGGGCCTTGGATGGTGGTGGCCTCATGGCTTCCTTCTCCTCTTGGTTGTAGCGGTGGACACTTCAACCCTGCTGTGTCGCTCTCGGCCACACTGGCCGGAGGCCTCAACGCCGTGCTGCTTATCCCCTACTGGGTCTCCCAGGTGCTTGGGGGGCTGATTGGAGCTGCCCTGGCTAAGGTGGGTAAACCCTGCTGGGACTGGGCTGGTGGCTTGGCACTCATGGAGGAGTCCCCTTCCCCCTCTCTTTCCTTCGTGTTGATAGTGTATATGCTTGAAATCTTTGATATCTTTCCATCAATAAAAAACAAACAAACAAACAAACAAAACAAACCAAACTAGTTCTGGGGCCCAGCAATTAAGAACACTGGCTGCTCCTCCAGACGACCTGGGTTTTACACCCAGCACCCACAGGGCAGCTCACAACCACCTGCTACTCCAGTTCCAGGGGTCCAACACCCTCTACAGGCCTCTGTGTTTACCAGGCATGCATGTGGTACACAGACATACATGCACACACAACACTCATACACGTAAAAATAAATAAATAAATAAAATGTATTTTAAGTGGGTTTTTCTTAGCTGCAGGGTCTCTAGCCATCAGCACTGGTGATAGAACCTAGGCTCTCCAGCATTTCTGAGAATTTCTCTACCATACAACTTCATCCCCAGGCTGGGCCAAAGATTCTATAGCTCTGTTACATAATTCCATGGGCTCCTTCTTTCCTCCATCCCTCCATGCTCCATCCTCCTTTCCATTCTCTCCTTCTCCCCCTCTTCTGACGCCCACCACTGCCTGTTCCCCTGAGGGTGACTTAGTTTCAACCCCTCATTCAGCCTTCCTCAAGGCCTGCAGGTCCCTCAATGTCTCCACAGCTAGTTTTGTGCTCTTTTTCTCAAAGAGGGTTATCTAAGCGCCATCGGACACAATGCCTGTTGTCCTCAATTTTCAGGCAAGCAGAGCAAGGCTCAGGGAGGTCTTGTAGCTCCCCCAGTCACACGTAAAAATGGAAAGAACTGGCATATAGACACAGGCATGCCCAAGTCCAGATGGGTTGGTTGGAAGCACAGGCCTCCAAGGTAGGTCCCTGTGCCCAGCTCCCATCTTCTCTCTGTCCTAGGCTTTGTGACTTGTCTCCACAGGCGGTGAGTCCAGAGGAGAGGTTCTGGAATGCATCTGGGGCAGCCTTTGTAACGGTCAAGGATCAGGGGCAGGTGGCGGTGGCCCTGGGAGCAGAGATCATTATGACAATGCTGTTGGCACTAGCTGTGTGTATGGGTGCCATCAACAGAAAGACAAAGGGCCCTCTGGCCCCATTCTCCATTGGCTTCTCTGTCACTGTGGATATCCTGGCAGGGTAAGTGCTCCTCAGTGGCGTGATGGCAGTGTCAACAGGGGCCAGGAAAGTGTGGCAAATGGAGGTGCCTTTGGGCAGGCAGCGGGGTGTGTGGTATCAGGAAGTGCTAGGTGATTTTTGGCTGGGAGGATGTGGGGGTCCTTCCATTTTACTTCATCTAGGTCTAAGTCAGAGAGCTGGGATTTTATAACAATTCCTCATTTCTGTAGCAGAAATAAAACATTCCCTCACGGTGCTGGCTCTGTATCATCTCTACCCCAGTCTCTTTTACTTTGAGCCTCTTGTTAGTTTTGGGAAGACATTAAAAAGACAGTGTTAGGCCAGGAATTGTCTTCCGTTGTACAGGTGGTCAAACTGAAGTTCAGAAAGACAAAAAATGACTTAGGGTCATCGCGAGTCTAAATAAAGTGACAAATCTGGGACAGCCCCCCCCCCCCCCCACACACACACACATCTGCTGAAGTGTGTGTGAGGTCCCTTCCAAAGGTTGAACTCCTCCTTTTGGTCTCAGAACCAAGCCTTTCTCGGTAGATCAGCAGTAGTGGTGCTTTGCTGCCCCCTAGTGGCACCTGCTTCATTTACACGTGAGCTCCACCACCTGGTTTGGTTTTTGGACGCAGAACCGACTGAAGGCTGCAGGAAGCAGTCTGAAAGCGGGGGTGGTGGTGGTGGTGGTGGTGGTGGTGGTGGTGGTGGTGGTGTGTGTGTGTGTGTGTGTGTGGTGGTGGTGGTGGTGGGGGTGTCTAGAGATAGCACCCAGAGCTAGCGGTGTGCCTTGGAAACAAGCTCCCTCTGGTGAGCCTGAGGAACCTGCCCCCTTTGGTGTACCCGGCAGACAAGCCCCCTCTAGAGGAGTAGGGCCGGTGTTGGTGGCATGAGGACCCCAATGGGCCAGGGACACTACAATGACCATCACAAAGCACACATTTTGTCATTTGTTCCTGGGCGTCTCCATCTCTGGACATGCAGAGAGGTTAGATAAAAGTCACAGAGCAGAACTCCTGGCCTGGACTTTGAATGTAGGTCAACTGTACTCCAGAGTGGGTGACGTTCCTTGGACTTCCCTTTATAGACTTTGGAAAGGAACATGTTCCATTTTTAGCTTCTGTAATGACTAGGCAGGTGTTTATTTTTTTACTGGACATTTGCTCTAGAAGCATGTTGGGGAGTGGCTAGCATGATGGTCATAGAGGAACCATCCTCCATCTGCTTGGCACTAAGGTTGCTTTATAGCCTGTGGGATCCAATGCAGGAGCCCCTGCTATGGAAATTTAGAGAGGGTGTCTGGGTGGGGCAGGCTGTAGATCTGATTAAGGTTGTGGACTTGAGGGAGGACCTTCTGAGGTGCTGGTGGACTGGGTATCCATGTGTCTACAGTGGTGGGATCTCTGGAGCCTGCATGAACCCTGCTCGTGCCTTTGGACCTGCTGTGATGGCCGGCTACTGGGACTTTCATTGGGTCTACTGGATAGGACCCCTCCTGGCTGGCCTCCTCGTAGGACTTCTCATTAGGTAAGAGGGTGACGGGGAGTTTGCAGCTAGTAGGTTGGCACTCACTTGGACTTGGAGGAGACGGGGGATCTTCAGAGGGAACTAAGCTAGGGCCTTTGGCTCCAAGTGACAGAAATCCGCTCTCCAAGGGGGACCAACTGGCTCTTAAGATTGAGGTGCTTGTGGGTACACTGGCTCCAGGTAGTGTTCAAACGTGTTTCTGGGGACTTGGGATCTCTCATAGGCTTCCTTTCCTATGGGTAGGCTTCATGTTTACATTGGCTTTAAAGAGATTTTTATCTAAATTTTTTTGTTCTATCTATCTATCTATCTATCTATCTATCTATCTATCTATCATCTATCATATTCATTCCCCTTGAGGCACCAACTCCTCCAAGATGCTCCCCCTCCTTCTTCATCAGTGTCTGGGAGGGCTGGCTCTGGGCTGCATGTATAGCCTTCTTTACCATTACCCACCGCAGTCCAGGGGTTTCAGGCCAAGCCTGGGGCCTGTTGTAAAACACCGGTAATCACTCTATTGCTGATTTCTGAGTGACCACCATAAGCATTCTTCTGGAAAGGGTATATGTGGGATCAAAAACTGTCCCTTGCCGCCTGGGAGTGCTGAGCTCAGGAAGCTCTCTGTCTAGAGAGTTCTGGGCCTGGAGATTCTGGATGGAAAGCTGGGTCCTTCTTCGAAGGGAATGGAGACCTCACAGGGCAATTTGTTTTTAGGCTCTTTATCGGAGATGAGAAAACCCGCATAATTCTCAAGGCAAAGTGAAGCTGCTGTTGGCATTCCCACTGCTCGGTGTCCTCAGCCACCTGTTCCTGAGTTGAGGACAGAACAGTTCTACCGTTTCCTGCAGGCCTGAGCTCAGAAGAGCCACTGTGGCAGCAGCTGACCCTGGCCTGGCTTCTCAGACAGGCAGGCAGCTGCTGCTATGTCCTGAGCATGCTCCTGGAACCTGGAATTCCTTTGTGCTCATGGGCTGGGTAGGGGTAACATGTGGCTGGCCTAAAGACATGTAGAGACCACATAGAAAAAGAGCTTTTGTGAGAGAGAGCGGGTCACAGGAGAGACAAGCAGGTGGAGAATGGGTTGCTAATGCACACTGCCAATTTCCCCAGCTGTCTTTCTTTTTTTCTATGCTGAGTCTGGAACCCAAGGTCTCATGCATACTTGGCTACTGAGCCCCCTGCTCTCCCCACCCTCTTTCCCTTGGTTACTCTGTTACAGAAGGGCTTTCAGGAGCCCAATGACCTCATTGCTCCCCCAGCTGCCAATCTAACTTTCTAATAAATGCTTTAGCATTTCCATCTGTGCGTCTGTTGACTTGTCTTTCACTTAAGACATGGGCACTAGGTGGGGGGGATAAAAGTCTGGGTGGAGGTTTACCTGTGCAGTAAAGGCTGGTTTCTACAGCCAAAGTAGGTATTTAGAATATGATTCCCTTCAGAGCCTGTCTGCACTCAGGTAGACCCACTGTGGCACTCAGCCTGGAGCACAGTGCTCATTTACTTAGTTTCCCAGTCAGAAGATCCCGCTAAAAACTGAATGTAGAGTCCAGAGCATTGATGAATTCTCAGTGCTGTCTGGATATGGACCGATCATTGCTCTGCAACTGGGGATGAGGTGGGAGTGGCAAAGCTGCAAGAATTCCCCATGGAAGGAGACTAGCAGCAAGCAGCATAGGCTAGTTCTGATGAGCCTGAAGCATGAGGGTGAAAGATATGAATGGAATGAAGAAGCGATAAGAGGCAACACATCTTCCAAGAAGAGCATGTATCTTCTCTAAGAATCATGGGTCATGGGTTTGAATCCCAGGACCGACCTGGTGGTTCATGACTGTCTCTCACTCCAGTCTTGGTGGTATCCGGCTCCCCGCTCTGGCTGCCTGGTCATGACATGCACGTGATGCACAGACCTAATTGCAGGCAAAACAGGCATACATATAATTCAAGAACACATCAAAAAGATCATCCACCAAGTAAAGGTGGCTTCATGCCAGACATACAGGGACGGTTCAACATACAAAAATAGATAAAAGTGGGCTGGAGAGATGGCTCAGTGATTAAGAGCACTGTCTGTTCTTCCAGAGTTCCTGAGTTCAATTCCTAGCAACCACATGGTGGCTCACAACCACCTATACTGGCATCTGATGCCCTCTTCTGGCATGCAGGTGTACATGCAGATAGAACACTCATATACATAAAATAAATAAATAAATCTTTAAAAAAAATAGACAAATGTAATCCATCACATAAAAAGATTGAAAGAAAAAGAAACCCCACACAATCATCTTGTTGGATACAGAAAAAAAGCTTTGACAAAATGCAATACCCTTTCATGATAAAAGTCCTGGAGAGACTAGAGATGCAAGGGACATACCTCAACACAATAAATGCACTTTGCAGTAATCCCACAACCAATATTAATCTAAATAAAGAGAAACTCAAATGAAACATGGCTCCATTAAAATCAGGAACAAGGAAGATGTCCATTTTCTCTATGCCTACTCAGTGTAGTACTTGAACCCTTAGCTAGAGCAATAAGACAACCGAGGAAGATCAAGAAGATACAAATGGAAATGGGAGAAACAAAAAAAACCCTTTATTTGTAGATTATATGATTTTGTATATGAAAGACCCTAAAAGCTCTGCCAGGAAATGTCTACGGCTGATAACATGTTCAGAAAAGTAGCAGGATACAAAATTAACAAACAAAAATCAGTAGCCTTCCTATGTACAAACAACAATCTGAGAAAGAGTTCAGGGAAACAGTGTTTTTTTTTTTTTTGCAATAGCCTATATATATATATATATATATATATATATATATATATATATATATATTAACCTCCTGAGATAAGTTTCACCAAGAAAATGAAGGCTTGTATAATAAAAACTTTAAGAATTGAAGAAAGAAATTGAAGAATATATCGGAAGATGGGAAGAACTCCTGGATCTTGGATCATGGATAAGTAGGATTAATACAGTAAAAATGGCCATCCTACCAAAAGCACTCTACAGGTTCAATGCAATCCCCATGAAAATTCCAACACAGTTTCTCATAGAAATTGAAAAATAATTTAAGTTTTACATGAAAACACAAAAAACCCAAGATAGCTAAAACAGTCTCAGATGATAAAAGAACTGAAGCAAGTATTACCATTCCAGAGTTCAGGTTGTACTTCAGAGCTATAGTAATAAAAATAGCATGGTATTGGCATGAAACAGATATGTTGATCAATGGAATCAAACTGAAGACTCAGACATAGGCCACACAACTATGCACACCTGATCATTGACAAAGAAGCTGAAACCACACACTGATTAAAGACAACTTTTTCAAAAAATGGTGGTCAAATTGGACGTCTGTGTTTAGAAGAATTCACATAGATCCATACTTATCCCCTTGTATAAAACTCAACTCCCAATGGATCAAAGATCGCAATATAAAACAAGGTACCCTGAATCTGACAGAAGAGAAAGTGGGGAATAGGCTTAACTCGTTGACACAGGAAAAGATTTTCTGAACAGGACACTGATAGCATTACACCAAGAACAACAATTAATAAATGGGACTTCATAAAATGCTTTTGTATGGCAAAGAACACCATAATTTGGATGAAGCGGCTCACTACTGAATGGGAAAGATATTTACCAGTTACACATCCAATAGAGGGCTGGTATCTAAACTATATAAAGTGCTATAAAAACTGCGTATCAAGAAAACAACCCACTTCAAAAGTGGGGTATAGGACTGAGAAGAGTGTTCTCAAGATGCAAGACAAATGGCTGAGAAACACTTTAAGAAGAGACCAACATCTTTAGTCATCAGGGAAACGCAAATCGAAACGACTTTGAGATTTCATCTTACACCAGTCAGAATGGCCAAGATCAATAAAACAAGTGACAGCTCGTGCTGGCGAGGGTGTGGAGAAAGGGGAACCCTCATCCATTGCTGGTGGGAAAACTCCTACAGCCACTGTGGACATCAGTGTGGCAGTTCCTTAGGAGGTTGGGAATAGATCTGTCACAAGATCTAGCTTTACCATCTTGGGCTTATATCCAAAGGACTATACACTCTACTATAGAGATACTTACTCATCCATGTTTATTGCTGCTCTACTCGTAATAGTAAAAAAAAAAAAAAAATGGAAACAGCCTAAATGTTCATGAATAAATAATGAAAATGTGGTACATTTACACATGGAATATTACTCAGCTATTAAAAAATAAAATTATGAAATTATCAGATAAATGGATGGAAATAGAAAAAAATCATCCCAAATGAGGTAACCCAGACCTCAAAAGACAAATATTGTGTTTTCTCTTATATGTGGATGTCAATTTTTAAGCTTTTGATATGTATGCTACAATCCATACCCTCCAGAAGTTAGGTATCAAGTATGTAGGGGGAATAGGAAGATCTCCCAAGGAAGGGAAAGTAGAATATATAGTTATGGAAAAACAGGGAGAAGAGTGGAGTGGGAGGATTAAATGGGGAAGGGAAAGAGAGAGGTAAGGAAGAGGATATGGGGAGGAACAAATAACATTAAGGGCCATTTGAGGAGCATACGGGAGCCTACTGTTGTAGAAGATTCCTCAAATATATACATATACAAAAGAAATCTAAATGGAGTCAGAAAAAAAAAACACAAAAAACAGGAGACAAAGCCCCAACTAGACATCTTTCATCACCAAGTGAAACATCAAGTTCCAGGAATGGGTTACATCCAGTTGATCCATTGGTTAAAGGAGCCCAATGGATGCCCATAAATATCTCTGACTATTGCCAAAACTATTGGTTGCCTTCTGTAAATTGATGGTAAGACCTTACTGCTGAAGATAACACTTACTGTTGTGTGAAGACACCATGACCATGTCAACTCTCATAAAGGAAGACATTTAATTTGGGCCAGGTTACAGTTCAGAGGCTTAGTCCATCATCTTCATGATGAGAAACAGTGGCATGAAGGCAGGGACAGTGCTGGAGAGGTAGCTGAGAGTTCTACAGCCACAGTGACAGGCAGCAGGAAGAGACAGTGCCACTGGGCCTGGCCTGAGCTTCTGAAACCCCAAACCCTACCCCTAGTGACACATTTCCTCCAACCAGGCCACACCGCCCAATAGTGCTACTTCATATGAACCTATTGGGGCAATTTCCACTCAAACCACACTTACATAGCTAACTGAACACAAAGAAAGTTGAGCTGGTGTCTAAGTAGAGGCTTCACCCATACTCACTAGTGTTCGCAGTACTGGAAGGCACAGTGGAGAAAGAAAACTGTCAACCCAGCCATAAATCCTGTGATCTGCAGGGTGACCTGTCTGCAAGAAATGCTGGTGCACTAGTGGCACAAGGTTGTAGGCATAACCAACCACTTTATGATTGGACTTAAGGTCCACCCTATGAGATGGAACCCGTGTCTGACACTGCTCAGGTGGCCAAGAACCTGAGACTAGATAGGCCATTGCCCCATGGAAAAACCAAATGCTATTGCTCTGCTAAAGGAACATGGCATTAATATGGCTCCTAATGATGTTCTGCTGTGCCCATACATCAGTGTCTTGCTCAACCATCATTAGAGAAGATGGGATTTTATAGTAGATGGGAACTAATGGGAACTAACAGAGACTCACAACTGGACAATATGCAGGGAGTAAGAGGTTTTGGAACACCCAATCCTAAATAGGATGTCTTCATCAAACCCCTTACCCAGGTACACAGGGCTCTATGCTGAAGAAGAGTTAGAAACATTTTTAAAGTCAGAGAGGATGGAGGACTCAAAGGAAACAGGGCTTTCAAGACACAACAGGACTGATGCAAATATGAATGCACAGAGACTGAGCCAGAATGCCTAGGGCCTGCACAGGGTCAAGCCAGATGGGACCCAGTGGTGAGGTGGGGAAGTGGACATGGCTCCCACTCCTAAACAAGAAGCTATCTACATCTGATACTAGCTTGCAAAGTTAAAATTAGTTTTCTCCAGTGGAGTCTCATTGGGCATGTTAGCCACACTTCTGGGCAGGCCCCATGTCCGGCAGGAGATGGCCAACAAAAAACTAACTCAGTGGTAATTTTGATGACGTTTGTCTCATATTGCTTTGTTTGGGTATTTCTGTCTTACTAGTCTTTTGCTTATATATTATGGTTTCTGATTTAGTGTTTTTTTTCCTCTGTGTGAGTTTTTTGTTTGTTTTCTAAAGAAAGAAAAAGTGCATGGAGTTGGGTGAGGATCTGGGAGAGTTAAGAGTGAGGAAAAGCATGAACAGAATACCAAATTATTTTTCAATAAAGGGAAAAATTAAAAAGAAATCATGGGTCATTTATGAAAGAAAGTAATTTTGAAACTGTAAATAGCTCCAGGGAAAGACCATCCTCAAATACAACAAAAATTCACCATTCCTACAGAATAAGCAAAGCACCCAAGGTAAAGGTGAAAGTGAATAATGCTCCTTACTAGAAAAAGGCTCCATTCCAATGATGAGTACAATGTTCATGCAGAGGCACATAAATCTCAACCTCTCTTTCATCTGTCTGTCTATCTATCTATCCATCTAACTATCGATCCATCTACTATCTCTCTTCAAACCTCAAAAAATTTGGAATGGCCACCATCAGCATCTTCATGAAAAAGTCTGGAAATTAACAGGGCTTCTGAGGTTGGCAGGGTCCCTGTCTACCTGGAACCTCAGAATATGACCTTATTTGGAAATAGTCTTTGCAGATTCAACTATGGGAATTATCAAGATGAGACTATATTGGTATGGGGTGCAAATACAAGGAGAGAGTCCTTGTGACAGTCAGAAAATGACAGTTATTGAGCACAGTACAGGACAATGAGGTGACTGTCAGCAGGATTAAGAGACATTAGAGCTACTCAAGGTCACAGTATGTGGACAGATCATCTTGCTAAGATGAGCTTTGACTTCAGGGTCTAGTTTTTGAGTAAGTGACAATATTATGTTTCTTGCCTTGGCTCGTGTTCATTTGTCTTCCACTAAAATGGGGAAAGACATTTATTATAATTTTTCACTTTAAATTTACGATTAAGTTTCACAATCCAGTTTTCACTTCAGTTTCTCAACTGTAATCTCCCAGGATGGGTATGAATTCATCCTTTTAATCCCACATTATGTGGATTAGTGTTTGCTTTATAGAAAGGTCAGAATGTACTACCCATAGACACTTGAGATCTGGTGTTCAATTGCCAGACCCAAGTTACCATAGACTCTGTAAGGAGTCTATAAGGAAAGGTCAGGTGTCTGCCATGCCTGACTATGACCTTTATCTTTTTGGTCACTCACTAAAGAGGCAATCTAGATATTGGCACTCTGTAGTGACTCAGCAATTTAAATTCTTGGAAGTCTTTGTCACATAAAACAGCAGCTGATAAAACCTTGTGAGAGAAACCCTTCAAATGGAATCCACTGTGTGTTCAGTGAGCGGACTGAGCCACCCTACTGTTCTTCCTATGGTTTCTGCATGTGTAACTGGGAATACAGACCCATAAAGCAGCTGACCTTCTGCACTTATTCAAAGGTCAGTGAACATGGCTGTTATGGTGAGATGGGCTATATGGAAACCACAGAACTTTTCCTACCAAAACATTAGTCAAGGAATATTGTCAAAGGTTTGATAGCTTACAACTGTAGTTTCAACACTAGGCTGAGATGGAAGAATTAAAGAGTTTAGGCAAACTTGGGCTAGACAAACCTTGTATTCCCCCTCCCCCCAATAAAAAAAGAGCAATACGGTCCACCTCCAATGAAGGCATCCTTCTTGGTATAGGGTATTTTGGGTTAAAAGCACTTGGAAAATAGCCAGTGCAAGAGGGGGTGTTCTGACCCTTCTTCAAGACGCAGGAGGTACCGATGTGAAGATGCTCTCCCTCACCAAGTACATTATCATGACGGAAGATGGGCATCTGGGGCTGAGAGAACTCTATACAGATTTTGTTAAAATCATGTGTCTCCCTTTGGCTCTCCCATCCTAGTGATGTTGCATAATCAGTACTGTTTCTTCTGCCTGGCAGTCAAGCACTTAGGCTTTACTACTGTTTTAGGCCTTTATCTGGAAGACCCTCTCACATACACACAAAACACTGTAAGCGCTTCTGCTGTCTGCATTGTGTTAATCTACTCATCAGGCTCAACAGGACACCCTAACAGAATAAAGTTTAGTTTCTACAATCGTAGCTTTAGGGAAACAGCTATGGTTTCTTCCAGTTAGATTGGCATGAAAGTCTCATCAGAAGCACAAGCAGTATGTCTGTTCAACATCAATTTTACCCTGGAAGTAAAGCAAACCATCATTTGGAGTAACAGTATGGCAGTTCAGAGGACTGCTGTACTGGGACTGCTGTGGATTCACAACATGTCCTTTTCTGTTGGCTATGGGGGGCAGCTGTGAACTGGCATGAAACTCAAGTTCTTTTTACTAGTTACAAGGATTGGCCTTGAACTTCTTAAATGTTAATTTTTCTAAATAAAGACAGCCTTCAAATTATAGCAAACCAAAGGTAGCCATTTATTGTGGATATTTCAAACACAAGCTTTCAAGTAGACATCTAGGTGAACATTAATACAAAATGAAGACAGACATCCATTTACACTTGGTCTTGGAATGCATTCAGGTGCAGGTGGAGGCTTTGGACCACACAAACCACTCAGCTGCTCCTTCCACTGGGATTTTCCTAATCCATGAATCTTGTCTGTCAGTGAGCACCATACTCACAAAAGACTTTCTTCACTCTTCTTATTCACCTTTGGCTCTCAGGGTGATGGGGAAAAGGAAAGGCTTTCCAGATTCTGAACACAAGCGGCTTGTCCTTTCTCCTTACTGAGAAAGCTGGGCTGGCATTGCTGCCATCTTACTAAAGTATGAGACGGACTCAATGTGGCCCAGAGATGGCATCCAGTGAACAGCCAGGGGATGAGTCTGGCCTGATTCCTTAACGGCTTCATGAACATGAGAACTGCTGCAATTTTGGAAATTAAGTTAACTAATCAGAAAGAGAGAAGTTTTGGTTTACCAGATTATATTAAGGAAGTGGCAACAATACTAAACTTTTCTTTTGGCTTCTGGTCTATTACACATTCCTCAGCGGCAGGATGCCCTGACTTGTTTAACATGTGAGTTTTCTTCTTTACAAAAAACATGTCTCTTCCCAGACAAATGAATTAGGTTATATATATATATATATATATATATATATATATATATATATATATATATATATATATATAACAAAATCATCAGTAAAAATTAGTGAGGTATTTGTGAAAATCAATGAAAGCCTAGGAGGGAAATACAAACACAGCTTCTAAAATGTCTTGGACAGAATGGCAGAAAATAAAGAATCTGTTTATATACACACCATTATTCAAAAACAGGACTTGAGACAATTTCCAAAGAAATATGACAGAGTCAAATAAATAGGTGTAGGTAGTTGGTTGAGGTGTTCTGTTGAGCTTTCCAGCAGCCAGAACAGCAATGGAGAAGCAGCAAGTTATAAAAATCACAGTGTTTATAAGACTTAAAAACAAACAAACAAACAAACCTGTTGTTTTCCTCCTTGAAGTCCTTGGTCTTGAGACCTATGGATCATTACAGAGATGTGGTAATGATGTACTACTCATAATGTGATCACTCATTCTAACTCACACATCCGCTGACAAAAGAGAAACACATAAACAAGCACCTTGGTTTATGATGGTAGGAAGATCTGTTTCTTAAAAACTGACATAAGGTCCACTAGATTAACACACATCCTAACATTTTTTATGATTAGGATTGTAGGTAACTCACCCCAGCTATGTCTTAGACATAGGAGACAATCACTTTGTGGTGAAGACATATCAGGCCCTGGATCTTTCCTTTTGCTGGGAGAGTATGTCAATCAGCAGTGCCCAAACTGATATTCTATTTGCAATTTACAGAAAGTCTTTAGGATGTGACTGCAATTCCTCCAGATGGGGTGATTGACCATCACCCTGGACTTAATTAGAATATCTTGCTGTAACACTTCCTTGCTGGAGCACAGCCACCATGGCCCCCACTAATTCTGTATTCCTGTGATTACAACATGGTTGTATACATAACAGTACATAAATATCGGTGAACAAGTCATCTACGTTCTGAATCATGCTTCCATATAAATATCAATCCTGTGTACATGTTTCTAAGTGGCAATTTATACTAATGTGCATCTTTTCTAGAGCTGGAATTTCAGAACATCTACACAATTATAAGCACAAGCCCACTGGCACCACACAATCTTACTGGTCTAGGCACAGTTCCAACATGAAGCTCCATGTACCCTTAGAAGTCTCTAAGTCAGACAATACATAGGAAATAAGCTACTGTTATAATTGTCAGCAATTATAACATTTCCAACAAACACGCATCACAAACAGTTACCAGCATTTACCTGAGTCACTTGCCTTCCAACAGGCTATATCCTATGTTGGTACCATAAAGCGCTTTTCTTTTTACAGTGTCTACACTCTTTGATACTTTGCTGAACAGGTCTCAAAAGATTCAAATATACTCACATAAAAATATCATCTCTAGCTGGGCATGTTAGCACACGCCTGTAATCCCAGCATGCAGGGAGGCAGAGACAGGTGGATCTCTGTGAGTTAGAGGCCAGGCTGGTTTACAAAGTGAACCCAGGATAGCCAATGCTACACAGAGAAACCCTGTCTTATAAAACAAAAACAAAACCAAATTATCTCTAGATGTTTTCAACAAGAGAGCATCTTACAGGAGGAGAACAACCTAGGAACAGCCCTGACTATGGTCCTCCTTCTACTATACTTGGAACTTCTCCCTCCCCAAAGCAAAGCTACACTGGGTTACCTATGTATTAAAGGTATGAATGCAACAGGCCTCATCTTCAAGTAACTGATTTGGGAAGATCAAATTCCTGAATTTCATCTGTAATTCTATGCAAGTTAACTATTTCCCCATCAGAAACTTCCTGACAACATATACCTGATTAATACCAGGGGATTTTCAAAGACATTTTTTTTCCCCCTAGAGGAACAGGAAAATGGGGAAAATAAGGTGTTGCTCTAGAGTGGAAGTTTATAAGTAGTTCTACTTTCACTGAGTGAACTATAGAGCTGTACAATTATTTAGGGCTCTACAGTCAGGTTTAAGATCCTACAAACAGGAACTAGAAGCTTCAGAACCAGAGACTAGGGTGTATAACAGTCAACCCTGGAAAGCAGTCTGGACTGAGGTAGCTCTTTGATCTAAAGCAGGCCTAAAGAGTCCATTGAGTACTTCAGGTCTCATCTCCTTCTTCCTTACAGCCTTGAACTTTTAGAAACACTATTATAGTACACTGAAATGTAGAGATAGGCAATATGAAATCTGCCAACATACTGGTAGGTCTTGCTCTAGGTTGAGTCAGAGAAATGATGGGTAGAACTAGGCTTTGAAATCTGATTGTCTCTTAATGAGACAGCACTAACATGCATCCTCTCCCATCTGAGTGGGCCAAGGTAGCCCAGAGAGTCAGACAAGAGCACCCAGAACAATTAAGAGGTAAGTACAGATTTATGATGAACAGTACAAGGATTACTTGTCACTAGAGAAGCAACTGACACAGGATTTAAGTCTTCAGAAACAGAGAGGGAGATGAAGGGTGAGCAAGTGCTTCTCTTGGTGGAAGACAAGGTATTAGCAACATCCCTTCAGTAATAACACAGGGAATTAAATCCTAGTTATTTGGATCAACTTCTTAATACAGACTTCTGAAGGCAGCTGTAAAACTTCCACATTCCTTTTGTACCCTCAAAACCAAGATGGATCTGATATAGTTCTGATCAAACTTCTAGAAGTTCTACCCAGATACGATGAAAATCCATTGTCAAGTTGCTGCCAAGATCTCATATGGATGCTAGATAACACCACAAAAGCTTTTCACCATTCATGTATTTGAAAAGAACTCTCACCCATGTGGGACAGCTTTGGAAGTTAGCCTCAACATTTTAGTGAGAAGTTTATTCTCAACTCAAAAAACTTATCATCTCATTTATTAAAATAGTCAAGACTCACAGGAGACAGACTGAGCACTTTAGAATGGGTGAGAACAGATGAAATCCTAGCTTATTTATATTCTCAGGCCTGTCTTGGGAGCTGCAATTTATAGCTAAGAAAAGATTGTTTCCAAGAGTGAGACAAAGATAAGACAGCTAAAGGGGCATGTGGAAAGAGAAGCTCATTGTCAAAAGGCCTTCCTGAACTCATCACTCTTCCCCTTCAGCAGGTTCTCCGGGGCATACACAGAGGGAGAGTACGGCAGTAGCTTTTCTCTCAGGTGTACTTCCCGGTGTTTGGCGAGGAAAGAGCTCTTACTGAAATGTTTGCCACACTGGGCACATGTGTAGGGCTTCTCTCCAGCGTGGATTCGCTGGTGTTCTCGATATCTTGTACAGTTGTTGAAGCTCTTCTCACAGTCCCCACATCTGTAGGGGTTCTCTCCAGTATGGACTCTGCGGTGGGCACTGAAATGAGAACTGTTGGTGAAGCTTTTCCCACACTCTTCACATTGATAGGGCTTCTCACCAGTGTGGGTTCTCTGATGGATGATAAGACTTGAGCTCTGACTGAAGCATTTGCCACACTCCCCACATCTGTATGGCTTTTCTCCAGTGTGGATTCTCTGGTGGGCTCCAAAATTTGAGGAGTCATTAAAGCTTTTCCCACAGTCAAGACATTTGAACGGCTTTTCCCCAGTGTGGATTCTTTGATGTCTGATTAGGCTCCTGCTCCTACCGAAGCACTTTCCACAGACACCACACTTATAAGGATTCTCCTTCTGGTGGGTCATCCTGCACATGAGGCGAGCACTCCTTCCAAAGTTTTCTCCATATTTAAAATGTCTGTATGGTCTCTTCCCCACAAAAGGCCTCTGATGCACCACAGCCTTCCCTGTATCTCTAGGTTGAGACATCAGTTTTCCCTGTCTAATTCCTTGAAGGTTTTCCCATTGTCTTCCTGAGATGCATTCCCTTTTACAATATTTACTGGGGTTGGTATTCTGGGAAACAAATCTTTTGGACTTTTCTATTAATGCCCTATGGGGCTCTGTGTCCTTAAATATTACCTGTGTTGGGTCCTCCTTAATATTACTTCCAATTTCAAAATCTGAAAAAGAAAAAGACAATAAAATTTCACAAAAGTACAGTATTAACAAAACAATTAACCAGGCCTACAATGTTTATGATCCTCTAATGTTTATGGCCATATACAATGAACTAACTGATTCACCACGCTTTACATGCTTTCAGTTTTATAGACAGATGAATGACATTTGCTACAGTGTGGGTTCTCAAAAATTTTTTGAACAGAATTACAGACCAAGCTACCATACTCCATCTGTATCCTGAATAGCTTAGCAACTACTTGGTTTATCTCCTTAAAGTTATAGTTTATTCTTTTTTTCTTCTTTCACATCTATACTAAGATATTACAGTATAACTTATTTGAATAAACTCTTGGACACGTCCAAATTCCTCAAGCTATTTCTAAAATCTTCAATAGCTATTTGGGTTCTAGCCTAGAGTACTATTTTTCTCATTATCTTGTAGCTTGTTTTTCTGGTTACTTCATGGACTACAATAACACAAACATTTTACTTTTTACTGTTTCCAAAACTAGATTTTTCTACTCTTTCATTACACCCTATTCATTATAAGGTACATCTTGGATTCAACTTCTCTGTGAAGTTTTATGGGAAGCATGATATATTGAAGAGACAGAAACTTTGAAATGACATAATTTGGTTCTGGCAATATCCTAGTTACTTGTTAAGAAAGTTTTTGTTATCAGCTTTGAATTATGGGAAATTCCACTCATACAGAAGAATAAACAGTGTAATATGTATGAAGAACTCCCATGAACTACTTACTGACCTTTAACAATGATCTTATGACTAATCCAATTTCATTTCTATTCCCACACAATCTCTGCTCTCTACTCAGACTAGTTTTATGCAAACTCTAAATGGCACATTATTGCCATCCATAAATATTTCAAAAGCTGAATATCTTAGGCTTATTCTAGGTTTGATCCCCAAACCCTTGTTCTTAAGCATGTACTATACCATCTTGTTCCTACTTGTAGGTGTCAACATGATTTCCCTTCCACACACAGATGGAAGAGAAGGGTAGCCAACAGTCAGTTCATTAACATATATAAAAACTATAGTGATGTTATTATCAATTAATACTCCTTTTTAAGTTTTTTTTTTGTTTTTGTTTTTTTGAGACAGGGTTTCCCTGTGTAGCCTTGGTTGTCCTGGACTCACTTTGTAGTCTAGGCTTGTCTTGAACTCACAGAGATCACCTGCCTCTGTCTCCTTGAGTGCTGGGATTACAGGTGTGTGCCTCCATTCCCAGATTGAGGTTTTCTTATTAGATCCAACATTGTTCTGGGATTTAGAGGAAATCACAGACTATTAGTTGACTCAGACGGTAAGTGAAAATTTGACTGTACCCTGGAAGTCACCTAAAAATAATATTCATAGGAATTCTTTTTATAGTTATTAAAAAGGTAGTCAGGACTGATGAGATGGCTCAGAAGTTAAGATATGGGTTACTTTTCCAGAGGACCTGGGGTTTATAGCTTTCAACAATCTGTAACTCCAATTACTCTCTTCTGGCCTCTGTGGGCACCAGGCATGTACATGTTACACAGACATAAATGAAGGCAAACAGACACACACAAAGAAAAATAAACAAATAACATTAAAGAAAGAAGTTATATTGGACTTACTCTTTATGATTTCTCATATAAATATTACCAGACAGCATATGTATAAAGTCCTGCTCTGCTATATCTGGACATTAACTCCATTTACTGGGCCTCTTTAACTAACTCAGGCAAACCAGAAACGCTGGGTTCAAGAAATCAGTGCAAAATCCCTAACATTCTGACACATCCTGTGCCCACAGAAAGGCATACCTCCCACCCTTCAGGAGCTCACTCCTGATGGGAGGTTGGTTTAAGACATAGAAGTGTTCGGTGCCATAAGACAAAGTATGGGAGTTGAAAGAATTTAGATAAACAGATCTATAGAGCCAAATATGTTCAAAATGTTGGGTTGGAGTAGATCATGAGCCCTGGACTAGATATGAGAGAACTTAAGGAGCATGTAGAACACAGCGAAGTTTTGCTTCAAAGAAAGCCTAGAGAAAGAAAATACTAGCACATATGCCTTGATGTGGCACATGAGCCCAGATTAAGGATGTCTTAATCAAAACACAGGAAGAAGCTGGGCATGATGGCGCATACCTGCAATCTGAGAACTCATGAGTTCTCAGGAGCATCATGAGTTCCAGGCCAGCCTGGGCTACAGTTGGAGCCCTGTCCCCTCCAAAAAAATATGTATGGGTGAAAAAATTTGGTTTTGAGACTTTTACAGTCTAGGCAATAAACAGGGAAAGACAGAACTAGACCAAAGTTTATGACAATGAGAGCAAAGGCAGGCAGAAGTGACAGTTTACCTGCAAGCCATGTCATCTACCTGCATGTAAATGCTGAGTGTGGGGTTTTAGATATGTTTAATGCTTAAGCTAGTAGTTGGCTGCCAATGAGCACACCCAGTGGCAGTGGGAAGCAGGCTGCTGGCGCTCAGGACCAGAATAAAGCCTCTCGTCTTGTTTGTGCCTATTCTTTTTCTCATGCATGTTACACACAATAATAGCGAGAGGGTTCTGATTTGACATTAATTGACCTTCCTCCTCCTTCAAGTTTTAAATGTAGAATCTCACATTCTTCTCTATAGTATTTTCAGAAACAAAACACTGTCTGACCCACCAAGATAGAAACCAAGGCTAAAGTCCCAAAGTCGGAGACTACACAATGTGAAGAGCTGAGCTCCTCCTTGTTAGGGGAATACCATGAGAACAGGACTCATTTTACTTAGTTCTAGTTCCCTGTTCCTTGAACAGTACACAGCACTTGAATACCTCCTGAGTGAAGAAACATGCATGAGCTATGCGCCAGGTGTGCTAATTTTTCAGAAAGTCACCTTTTCTCCTTGCTTTGACTAAGAGCCCCATGACCCTTACCAGTTGGGCTTTGTGGGAGGACTATAGGTCCTTGGAGTTCTGGCTCTTCTATAATTTCCTCCTCACTCATTCTCTCGCTTCCAGAATCTTCTAACACTGCCTCCTGTAAGTTCTCCTCAGGCTCCCAGGTTGTAGGCTCTTGGGGTTCAACCTCAATATGTCCTCTTTCTTGCCTTGGGAGTGACAGGGTTTCCTCTGAGGTGCCGGTGGGAAGGGCAGGTGTACGGCAGTTAACTAGGGCATCCATCTCCTTGTAAAATGCACAGGACTCCAGAACATGTCCGTTCTTCACTTTTCGGTAACTCTTCTGAAGGCTTTTGAACTTGGTTCGGCATTGTTCTGGTGTCCGGAGAAAGCCACACTCTCGAAGTTGTTCAGCCACAACTCCATACAATTTGCTCTTCCGATGACAGGCCTGAAGGGCTTCGTAAAACCGGGTCTCACGAAGGATATCCAGAAAAGTCTTGGTTTCTTCATAGCCCCAGTGCACACCTGCCATTTAGGAATAAAGTTGAAGATATAAGAAAAGGATCCCGGTGCTTCTCTATTACACACATTATGCAGTGTAATGGAATAAGTCCTCTTCAGGGAGGACTACTGTGAGACACTGTCTTCTGGACATGACAGGCGAGTGTACTCGTGAACTCACAGCAGGTGTGGCTACTTGCAGAAGACCTACACCACCAGCCAGAATTCTAGCATAGATGTATGCGTGCGTATGGGTATGTGTGCGTGCACATACACACATACGCTCTCTCTGGGTGCTACGAGCACTTGACAGCTTCAGGAGGTGGACAAACTGTTCTCTTTTTGAGGGTTTTCCCACTGGTAGGTTAGCCATGCACGTATGGACAACACTAACTGGACCTAGTGGACTAGTAAGTAAATAAATGTAAGTAGATAAAACAGAGCTGAGTTGACATGGGACTGGTTGGAGGGAAATGATCATATTTAATTGTATACATGAATGAACTTTTCAAGGATAAAGATAATCATAATTAAAGTCCTATTCATGATAGCAACAGGAAACATGGAATATCCAGAAACAAGTTTTATAAAAAGCAGGAAAGTCTATGTTTAAAAAAAAACCTATTAATTCTTTATTCAAAGACATTATAATAATTAGAAAAAAATGAGATGCTGTGTTTCTGGATACAAAGACTCAAGTTGCATAGACATCAGTTTTCAAATGAACAGCCAACATTCCAAAAGGGTTTTAGAGTTTACTTGGAAGAGTAAGTGTAGTCACTCACACTGCCATTGCTACGGAGACAAAAGGACTTAACCCCCTCCAAGAGTCTTTTCCAAGTAGTTCAGAACAATGGATTACAACCCAAAAGAACAGCCTGAAAGTTCCTATCACTTTTTATCAGTTTTCCTTGAGAATGAGAGCTATGTCCAAATAGCTCTGAGCCTGATAACTCATCCAATTTTTTGAGAGAGTGTATGATATGTATGGCACAAACAGCAGAATAAAACTTTTTTCAGAGTAGTTTGTTAAACATGCTTTTTGTGTGTTTTGGAATAAGTAGTAGCTAGCCTCACTATTTATTGGATGCTTCCAGACCCATTACTGGATTCCTACCCTTAAGATCATTCCCAAGAGCCTGACCTTTGTGTTTTCATATTTTCAGACTGGTATAGACCTGTATATGCATTACGGTCCTCGCATTTGTCAGCAGACCTGCTTATTTTAAGCACATGTCCTCATGAACACACTTCCAGCTTTCCTAGCCTGATTTATTTTTTTCATTTTGTTGATGGATTTATCGTCTTTCCTACACTGGACTAGGAAAGATAATAGTAGTATCAGTGACACATTTTAGCCTTTTCAGAGTACCTTCACCTGTATTCCCACTGAACACAGTAATAACCCTGTGAGTTCTTAGTCCCGTATATCACAGGAGAAAACTGAAGCCCAGTATAGTTACATAATATATCTACTGTTACACAGTTATTAACTGTGTAACTGTTTAACTCTGTATGTCTTAGTTCCCAAATATTTAACAGTAGATTTGCATGGTGTATCTTTTTTCTTTCTTTTCTTTTCTTTTCTTTTTTGATAAGATCTTAAGACTAGCTCAAGCTAGTCTGAAATCCACAATCCTCTTGTCAGGTCCTGAGTGCTGGGATTACAGGTTTGCAGTCTCTTTTTATTTTAATGCCTATCTTTGGTCTAGAGTGAAATCTCCTATAATGAGGAATGTGCAGTTGTTGTTGTTTTTAATGCATTAATTGTGGTTTGGTAAATTTTTAATCAGTGATATATTTAGATTTATTTATATCATCTTATTCTTGTGTGGTGGTTTGAATGCAAATGGCCCCCACAAGCTCATATATTAAATACCTGGTTCCCAGCTGTTGGAAATAATAAGTTAGTACCAGGAATAAGGTACTGATGTGATGGAGGAATGTGGAAGACTTTGGACTAGGGAAGTGGTTGAATGTTGTAAGTGGTATTTAATGGGCCAGGAAGACAGTAGTGTTGAGAGCTATGCATACTGTGGAGGCTTAGATCAAGAGGTTTCAGAGGGGAACAAGTATTAACTAGAGACCACTGGGCTAGGAACCATTCCTGCAATATTTTGGCAAAGAATGTGCTGCCTTTGCCCTTGTCCTAAGCATCTACCTGAGGCTAACTTAAAGAGTTTTTGATTTTTTGTTGGCAGAGGAAAATTTCAGGACAGCTTAATATTGAATGAATCATGTGCTTATTAGTGATCACTCTTATGTGGGACTATGGCAAAAAAGGGCCAACAGGAAAAAAGGAAATACAAATTGTACTATCTGAGGAAAAAAGGGCAGCAGAAAATGTAATGCTGGAGCCAACTCTGTGTTCAAAGAGATGGAACTTTAAAGACAGGCTTGATGTGAAATGGAATAAAGAGTGGTGACCTCTGGGGTTGGAGAGGTGGCTCAGAGGTTAAGAGCACTGGCTGTTCTTCCAGAGGTCCTGAGTTCAATTCCCAGCACCCACATGGTGGTTCACAACCATCTATAGTGAGACCTGGTGCCCTCTTCCAGCGTGCCGGTGTACATGCAGACAGAACACTGTATAAATAATAAATAAATATTAAAACAAAAGAGTGGTGACTTCAGGATAACACCCATTTAGGTAAGCTTCCAATTTGTAAAGAGGAAATGCCAAGGATTTCTGTTCCTCAAACAAAGGAAATCTTATTCAACAAATAGAAGCAACAATTCTAAGCTTATGTAAATATAATTCAAGGAGAGGGCCAGACTCCACTCAAAGCTTGCAGCAATACTTGGCAACTTCAGTTGCATGATTCTGGCTTTAGAGTCATGAAGGATATAAAAGTAATGGTGCTATGGAATCTTCCTCCCCAGTTAAGGAAAGTCACTGGGGACAGGCATTTGGCAGGGAAGTCCTTGTATGGAGGCGCTGAGAGGCCACTTTAGGTAGCTGTGAAAAGTGAAGTGGATTGTGTTGGAGACTCCAAGATGTTGGCAGTACCATGGCCATGCTCCCAGGGGCAGCTCTCTGCCAGGGAGAGCTGCGTGTAGGGAGTAAAACCAGGTAAACAGAGGGAAGTGTGTTATGGTTAGCAAAAAGGAAGAGAAGAGCCATCAAAGGCTTTTGAAATCAGACATAGAACTACAAATGTGGAGTTTGGCCTGCTGAGATTTGGTCTCGCTTTGGTCAAGTATTCCCTCACTATGGCCCCACTCCTCCTTTTAAGAATGATAACATATAGCTGGGGGAGGTGGTGCACTCCTGTCATCTCAGCACTCTGGGAGGCAGAGGCAGAGGCAGAGGCAGGTAGATCTCTGTGAGTCTGAGGATAGCCTGGTCTACTCACTTTGTAGCCAAGGCTACACAGAGGAAACCCTGTCTTAAAAAAGAAAAACAACAAAAAAGAATGATTATATATATATATATATTTTTTTTTTCCCCCCTGTGGTATTCTATGTTGGATGTATATAATTTGCTTTTTTTTTTTTTTAAATAAGAGAAAGCATTTAATTTGAGGCTTGCTTACAGTTTCAGAGAGTTAGTTCATGACCATCGTGGCCAGGAGTGCAGAAGCAGGCAGACAGGCGTTGTCACTACAGCAGTAGCTGAGATCTCACATCTGCTCCACACAGGCAGAAAGACCAGGCTTCCTTTTTTATGATTATTTTTTAATTTTTATTTTTTTATATTAATTATATTTCATTTACTTTGCACCCCAGCTGTAGTCCCCTCCCTTACTCCGTCCCATGCCTCTCTCCAAATCCAAGGGTAGGAGAAGTCCTCCTCACCTTCCATCTGACCCTAGCCTATCAGGTCTCATCAGGACTGGCTGCATTGTCTTCCTCTGTGTCCTGGTAAGGCTGCTCCTCACTCAGGGGGAGGTGATCAAAGAGCTAGCCACTGAGTTCATGTCAGAGACAGCCCCTGTTCCCATTACTAGGGGACCCACTTGGAGACTGAGCTGCCATGAGCTACATCTGTGCAGGGGTTCTAGGTTATCTCCATGCATGGTCCTTGGTTGGAGTATCAGTCTCAGAAAAGACTGGGCCCAGATTTCTTGGTTCTGTTGCTCTTCTTGTAGAGATCCTGTTCCCTCTAGGTCTTTCTATCTCATAATTTGCTTTTTTAGCTTACAGGTGGTTACAATTAAGAGACTGCCTTGACTCTCAGAAGACTCTTGAGACTGAAAGATTATGGGGGCTTTTGAAGTTAGACAAAATGGATTTTATTATATGGCAACAAGCCTATGGGACCAGGAAGTAGGATGTGGTGGTTTGAATGAGAATGGCTTCCATAGGATCGTATTTTGAATGCTTGGTCCCTGGATGGTGGAACTATTTGAGAAGGGTTAGGAGGTGTGGCATTGTTGGAGAAGACATGTCACTCGGGGAAGCTTTGAGGTTTCAGAAGCCCACATTTGGCATCTAGTGGGACCCCTCTCTTTCTGCATTCTACCTGCTGATAAGAATGTAAGCTCTCAGCTACTGCTCCAGCAATATGCCTGCGTGCCTGCTGCCAGGACAGCCAGCTCCAATGTACTCTTCTATAAGTTGTCTTGGTATCTCTTCAGAGTAACAGAAAAGCAACCAAGACATCTTGTTTCTGTATTTATTTATTTAGAGAAGGGGTTCTGCTATATAGTCCAGGCTGCCCTTGGACTCTTGATGTTTCTGCTTCCTATGTTCTGGGGTAACAGCTGTGTGCCACCAGGCCTGGCTCTTACAATTGCTTTTATGTGCCTCATCTGTTTTGTGATCCGTTTATTATCTTTTATCGTCTTTTACACTGGGCAGAAAAAAGTTTGTATTTCATTTTCTCTACCTTTTTACACTGTTTGTTATTGCCTATACTATATGGACTAATAATACATCTTTATTTATTATAATCTAATACAACTAATTATACTAATTCTCAAATAATACTAGACATTTACAACTCTTTAGCTCCATTTACCTTCCTTCCATAGGAAGGAATATAACAAATGTGATTTATATGTATATATGAAAGCCTGCATCTATGTATGGATATCATCTGTGTGCCTGGTGTCCAGAGGCCAGAGAGGGTGTTGGAATCACTGGAACTGGAGCTACAATACGGTTGTGAGCTGCCATGTGGATGCTAGGAACTAAACCTGGATCCTCTGTAAGAGCAGCCAGTGCTCTTAACCACCGAATCATTTCTCTACCTTGATCCTCAAATAATTAAAAACCCATGCAGAGCTCTAACCTGAAAAAAGAGCCTTTAGGTTCCTCAGAACTCAGGACAGAAACAAACACCCAAGTGCTGTTTTAGTTGTGGGGCATCACCGTGAAGCAGCATGAAGTGTGACAGCCTTCTCCAGGATTAGCCTAATCTACCATTTCCCCCACAAGACTACGCTTCTATCTTCATACCAAGAAAAACAAAACAAAACAAAACAAAACAAAACAAAACAAAACAGTACAATTCTTACCACTTAGATTTTGAAACAGGACAGGGGCAGCACGAATTTCAGACTTGTGTATAAACTCAATGCCCACTTCATCACTATCCGAGTCTTCAGCACCTTCTTCCTCCATCAAACTGACCTGTTCTTTAGCACTAACACCAATTCTCTTTAGTCTGGGGAGAGAGATCACGGCCTTTGGCTTATCAGTAGATGAAGTATGGGTTGCAGGGTTTAACAAGGCATCCATGTCCTCAAAGAAGGCACAGGGTTCTAGCATGTGACCATTCCTTACTTTTCGGTAACTTTTCTGAAGGCTTTTGAACTTGGTCCGGCACTGTTCTGGTGTTCGGAGGAAGCCACATTCTCTCAACCATTCAGCCACAGCACCATATACCTGGCTGTTTCGGGGGCAAGCCTGGAGTGTTTCATAAAAGCGAGATTCCTTAAGTATTGCAAGAAAAGTCTTGGTTTCCTCATAGCTCCAGTGCACACCTGCAATTTTTTCATCTTCTAAACCCCACTGTTGCTGCTCTCGCCATACTTTCCCTGCATTCCTTGCTGGGGTCTGAACAGCACGCACTGGTTTCTCTTTGATGTAGTTGCTTTGCAGGACACTATTCCTCTTATTTGAGGAATGTAGACCTACAGTCCATCGTTCCTTTTTTTGTTCCAACTGAGCTACCTTGTTAGATGTAGTCACAGTGCCTCCTACAGTAAGAGAAACATATTTCACAGTAGGCATAGATATCATTACTCCATACCCCAGTCTTCTGTTGAAACACATTCTCCTGGACTATTTGTTTACACCAAAGCCTTCCTCATCCAGGAACATAAACTCTGCAGTTATTTAAATGACTTCTCTGGCACGGAAATCTATAAATGACATCATCTTGTCTCATCTATGTACTGCGTCCATTTAGCTATTTCTTTCAGGAATGCCCTCAAGGGCAAGAAATAGTTCAGTACTTTTGACTCTTTCTTTTGGATGATATTGTATCATACTTGGCCCTTGCTAGACTGGAACTCTTTGATAGCTTCAAACTCCTAACAATCCTTCAGCCTCAGTCTCCCAAGTGCTAGGATATAGTCCTGAGCCACCACAGCTAACAAAGTATTTGTTTCCTTTACTTATATGTATGTGTCCCAACATTCTTCCTTGTTTCAATATATATATATACATTTACACACATACACCTTGGGCTATTATAAAAGTAAAGAATATTAAACTATATTAATCATACAGAACTGTGTTTCCATAAAATAGAGAAAATAGAATAGACACAATATGAATCCATTCATATATGGTCAACTAATCTTGACAAAAGAAATGGAAAGTGTTCCATTTCTGAATATCTACACGCAAAAGAATGAAGCTGGACTACTACCTTATACCACTTGAAATTAACTTGAGCTATATTAAGTACCTAAACATAGGGCTGGGGAGGATGTTCAGTTGGTAAGGTGTTTGCTATATAAGTACAAAGATCTGAGTTTGTCCCCCAATAACCATGAAAAGGGCAGAAATGGTGACGTGTGCTTGTAATCCCAGCAAAGGGATCTCCAGGTTCAGTGAGAGACCATGTCTCAGAAAATATGGTGAAAGACAACTGAGGACCACACTACACACTGACCGCTAACCTATATATGTACCCCCATGCATGCATATGGACCTAAATGTGGGGCCTGAAACCATAAAATTCCTAGAAGAAAGCATAGGGGAAAAAGGCAAAATGATACTAGTCTTGAAAAAACTTTATGTAACAACCAAAGTAGAGTAAATGAAAGCTTTAGCGCAACAAGGAAAATAATAAGCAAAGTGAAGAAACATCCTGCGGTATGTGCAAAAATACTTATAACCGTATATACTGTAAGAGGTTAAAATCTAAAATGTACGAGGAATCACACAATTCTTAGAAAAAAATCTGATCAAAAATAGGCAAAGAATCTGATGTGCAAATAGCCAAAAGACTCATGAAGAGGTACTCGGCATCACTACTTAACAGAGGAAGCAAATCAAAACCACCGCGCGCTGTTACTCCACGTTTGCTGGAACGGCCAGGATCAAGAAGACAGAGAGTAACAGGTGTGGAGAGGAGCGTAGAAAGTGAACCCCATGTGCTGCTGGTGTGAAGGCCAACTCGTCCAGCCATTGTGGGACAGTGCGGAGGCGATCGGAAAACACCACAAAACACAACTACCAGTGTCCTAGCCCTCTCACTTCTGCAGATATTTGTAAAGGGAACCAAACCACTGCAGGGGCACCAGCTCTCTGACATTCACTGGAATGTCATTCATAATACCTAAGGTGTGGGAAAGGCCCAAACTATTTATCAATGGGTGAAAAAAGAACATTTGAAAATGGCTCAGTGGTTAAGATCATTACCTGCTCTTCCAGAAGACCTGGGTTTGATTCCTAACACCTACATGGTGGCTAACAACTGCCTATAATTACAGTTTCAGGGGATCTGATGCCCTCTCTGGCCTCCCTGAGTGTCAGGTACACATGTATGCACAGACATACCTTTAGGCAAAATACTCATACACATGAGATAAAATAAAAATGGATATAAATTATATCTAAAAATATGGAAAAATTGATCTATAAAATGGAGCATAGAAAAGAAAACTAGAGAAAGAAGATCCTAATGGAGATACCTTGGACCTAGAGGGAGTTATATCAAATGAAATAAGTTAGATGGTGAAAGACAAGTATCACACCATCTCAGCTTTATGTGGAATGTTTAAAAACTCTCAGTGTATAAAGGACCAGAACTGGTTTCCAGAGGTGGAAATATGGACAGATGTAAAGAACATATTTGAGCAATAAGCAGGGTATTTTCTGGGGAATCTAATAATGCTTACATTTTAGAATGTACTTCATACCTATCATTGGCTGAGAGTAGATTTTAAGTGTCTTTCCTGTTAACTATGTGAATGATGTGTTAACTGTGGTTATTACTGCATAATGTATATGAAATAATAAAATTCCACATTTTAATTACACGAAACTTTATTTGCCAATTAAATGGTAAGTCTGGAAAATTTTGGCAGAAGAAACAAATATTCAAACAAAAACTTGGATGTAGACATAACAAATAACAATGGGAAACTGTTTTGCTTAAAGAGGTTAAGAGTATAAATACCATGTATGTATAGTGCCTTCAGAGGCCAGAAGAGGGTGCCGGGATCTCCTGGAATTGGAGTTCTGTGTGGTTGCGAGCTACCATATGAGTGCTAGCAAACAAACTCACATTGTCTCGAAGAGTAGCTAGTGCTATTGCCAATGAGCTATTTCTCCAAACTGAATTTTAATTGTGTGTGTGTGTGTATGTGTGTGTGTGTGTGTGTGTGTATTTTTGACAAGGTTTCTGTGTGTAACCCTGGCTGCTCTGGTACTTTCTCCGTTGAACTCAGAGATCCCCCTGCCTGTGCCTCCCAAGTGCAGGAATTAATGGTGTGTACCTCCACCGCCTGGCCAAAACTGAAAATTTAAATGTATGTATGGCTAGCAGTTACTCACCAGACATTACAGGATTATAGTATCTATAATGTTTGTTTTATACCCATTGGTTATAAACTGGTATCAGTCACATCTGCGCCTACAATTTGTATGTTTGTGTGTAATTCAGAGAATAACCCCAGGTGTTGTTCCTCAGGCACTGTTCTCCTTTTTTCTGTTTTGAAACATGGTCTCCCTGTTCAGCCCTGGCTGGCCTGGAACTTAACTCAGAGATCTGGCTGCTTCTGCCTCCTGAGTGCTGGCTTTTGGGGACTATGCCACTGCACCTGACCTTTTATTTCACATTTTACAGAAGTTCTCTCACTGACTTGTAACTCATCTAGTAGGCTAGGCTGTCTTGCCAGTGGGCCCTCAGGAACCACTTGAAACAGAGGCTTCACTCCCAGGACTAGGATTGTAAGAATGTGTCCCCTGCTCTCATGGGTTCTGAGGACTGAATTCAGATTTTCGTGCGAACACTTTACTAACTGAGCAATCCTTCCAGCTCTTCCACCTTTTTTGTGTTTTGGGAGATAAGAATTTCACTGTTAGGCTATGGTGATGGCTCAGTGAGTTCCTGGGATCTGCCTGTCTTTGTCTCCTCATCCTGGGTTTACAAGCACATGCCACCACCCCTGGCTTTTTAAAATGTGGATTTTAAGTGCCAAACTCTTCATGCTTGTGAGCACTTTACTGAACAAGCTGCCTCCCCAGCTCTGGCCTATAACGCTACTCATTAGTCTTTGACTTCTGAATGAAACTCGCACATGAGTGGACAGCACTTCTCCTGTTAGAGCAGGCGAGGACAGCCCTCTGAGGACCTGCTCATACCACGACACTGTAACGGTCATGTGTGCCTAGGCACTTGTCTGCTTAAATACTTCACAGTACGCTACCGAGGTTACGAATTTGATTTACTTTTTATTCAGAACTTAAGATTTCTACCCACGCAACAAATACTTAACAGGTGCTCATCCACCCGTTAGGCAGCTTGTGTTAGGTGTTGAGGATATTATTGTTAAATAAAAACAAACTGTAGAAAGAACTGGTGACTTCACATTCCTTTAGGCTGGGATGTGAGTTTGCATTTCCTGTAATATAAAACTGGCATTCATATCTAACTCCCGCTCAATGTTCCAATTACTATTACAATTTTCTTACTGGAGAGGGTACATGAGTAAGGGAAGGGAACAGATACATGACTACCCTGGACAATCCACAGAGATCCATTAAGCCTTCCTGATGCTGAGGCCCTTTAATACAGTTCCTCGTGTGTGGTGATCCCAACCATAAAATTATTTTCATTGCTACTCCCTAACTGTAATTTTGCTATTGTTATCGATCGTAATGTAGGGTTTTTTTTCTCTTTTTTTTAAAAAGATAAGAGGTTTGCCAAAGAGTTACAACCCACAGGTTGAGAACTGCTGCTTTAAGCCCTAACATTAGCAACTATTTATCACCAGGAGGAATTAATATATTAAGAAGTCTGTCAGTCTATTACTTGTGAAGGAAAGAATGCTTACCTAGGGAAGCCACGCTCCCTGCATTTTCCTTCCTGATTTCGTGGTAGAGATCTCTGTGAGTAGGAACTTGATGCACACTCTTTTTGTAGGAAAGGCTTCTCACTGTGTGGACATCTTTTACTGGTTCCTGTAACAATACTAACACCAGTGACTACCAAGACAACTGCAAAGGTCTTCAAAGGATGATCAACCAAGGATGAAGGCAAGAGGGTCCTAGAGAAGAACTGAGTTAAGGAAACGTGCGTATCAAGTGTCAAGTTAAGTGGGAGATACAGTAAATAATTAGGAAGAGACAGCGTAAGAGAGCTTATCCAGCAAAGAGTTCCATTACTGACAGGCTGAGTCCAAATGCTTCTGGAAAAGAAATGAAGGGAAAAAGTCTCTTGGAAGAAGTATAAACAATGTAGGCTAGTAAAAGCACAGAAAATAACTGTGACCCAGTTCAATAGAAGGAGGGCCAGGGAGGACAATTACAGTTTGCCTGGGAGTAAATTACCTCGGCTGTCAACTCCTGGTCTACTGTGTTCCACTCATCACTTGGGACAGGAACCCAGAGAGAAGAGCGAGCTAGAAAAAGAGAAGAAACAATTATTGTCATAATATTCTGAACTTTGGTCCTTCAATTCGTGCTGCTTCTCCTTTCTAGAAATTAGAGTATATTAAAACCCACAGAGAGGAATAGATTTTTTTTTTTCAATGAGTTCAGAGCAATGACCACCTCTACCTTCTCCTAATGCTGGGCTCATGACTCAAACAAGCAGGTAAAGTACATGAGAGAGGGTTGGGACTATCTGGGAGCCCATTGCTGACAGTTTTACCCCTGTGCAGGTGGGCACAGATGGTATGAAAGTTGGCTGAGCAAGCCATGAAAAGCTCCATTGCCTCTGTATCAGCTCCTGCCTCCAAGTTCCTGTCCTGTTTGAGTTCCTGTCCTGACTTCCTTTGATGTGGATATGGAAGTGAAAATAAACCCTTTCCTTCCTGAGTTGCTTCTGGTCAAGATGTTAATGACAGCAATGGAAACCCAAAGTAAGACACCAGAAACCTGGGACTTTTGTGAAATCTCAAGTCTTAAATTTTAAGAACAAAGAGCAAAACACAAAAACAGGAACTAAAACTCCAAATCTCAAGCAAAATTCTTTGTAAGTAAAATATAACAAGTCCCATTTGGTATACAAGTCAACAGTTTGTCATCCTTAGCTTAAGTTAGCAGTTTAACTTGGTTAAGTCCTGCCAATACAGCCAACAGTACAGCAACGGGCACAACGAGCATTTAAGCAATAGCCCCTCTGGCTAGGAGAAAAGTGAACTTTTTATACAGCAATCTCAGTGGTGTATTTCCTCCAAATAAACCTGAAAGAATAACTTAATTGTGAGCAGATCTTAGAAGCCTGAGCTACTACTTTCTATAGAAGTAAACAAATGCATTTTTTTTAAAATTACATTTTATCTGTGTATTCTGAGTGTCTTTGTGTGTTTCCACCATGTGGGTCCTAGGTATTGAACTCAGGTCATCAGGCTTAACAGGAATTTTTTTTTTTTTTGGCTTGTTGAGCCATCTTACAAACCCCCAAATAATTTTCTTGGAAACATCATCTTTCTGAGAAATCTAGCCTTCAAATTTTTGTTCTCCACTCCTCAGTCTTCAACAGATTAAAAAAAAAAAACCCACTTTTTATCATCATGGATGGTAATGATGATAAAACATTATAAACTGGTATTTGCTGTCACACTAAATTTATCAGCTAAAGTTATTAGAGCCATCTAACATGCATGATAAAGGGATCTTTGATGTTAAAAAAACACATCGAATAACTCAGAATTTACTAATATTTGCAATACATTCTTTTCTTTGGGGTTGCACACAGCTGTGGCAGTATGGCCATTGTGAATCTTTCCTGTCAATGAAAGCTTTTAAAAATCAGAATTGAAGTTTAAAAATAATTTTGACGTTATGAGAGAAAATAACATTTACTGAACACTATCATGCATGCACTGGCTATTTTACACCGCCCCACTGCATCTACACTAACGACTCTGCTATTTTCTTTTACAGATGAGAAGTCGGAAAGTTTGAGAAATAACCTAACGCCACGACAATAACAAATGGGAGAGCTGGGTTATGAACTCAGGTCTGCTTGCCTCTTTCAGCCTAAGATCTTAGGCATTAGTCCTTCTTTCCATGCTGCTTGCCCAAGATCACGGTAGGGGCAGACGGTTTGACAGGATCCTTCCACACCTCTCTACTGGCCTGGGATGAAGCCCACACTTTCGGAGATGGAAAGAGACTGTACTGGGAAGGACAGGACAGCTTGTTCCTTCCTTGTATTTGACCTTCTGTATTCATATCTACATGCTGTTGTCACTATTTATCCCTCTCCTACAGCATCCTGGGATGCCTTCTCTTGTGAGTCAAGTTTTGGAACGAAAGTATATTGTTTCCATTTCTCAACAGTTTTTCAAGTTGTTTATAGTCTGCCAAGAGCACATATACACATGGCATGACTAAAGACACAAACTGATGTTGGAGATTTAAAAATAACAAAACAAGATCTAAAGCTGCCCCAGAAAATCTAAGCTTCCCTAATTTCCATCTTTATGATTCCATTTTATTCGGGTAGCACATATTTCTGACTCTTGAAGCAGATGAAAAATTTCTTTCCAAATATTCGATTTATTTCTCAAATGGCTATCGAAGAGACCTATACTGAGCAAGTGACAGTGTTAGGGGTACAATGTAAATCTGGACGGTTTCTGAACTTGCTGTACTTTGAGTCCTTACCATTCTTAGGTAACAGCCTATGCTCTCTTTTTTGGTTCGGCTGTTCCTGGTGTCCTGAGTGGACGCTTTCAGCTTTCTCCCGAGAAACAACCCTGCGCTGGGTCTCCAGCTGCTCTGGCTCAAAGTCAGCTACTTCCCACATAGTTCCAAGTGGGGCTTGCTTCTCTGTATGTAGGGGACTACTGACCTGCAAAATAAAGCCATCATAAATGGGAAGATGGAGGAAAAGAACTGCAAATCAGGGTGAAATCCCTCACAAAGGACATTAAAAGATACAAGAACTGAGAAGGAATGAATTTTCCATATACTGAAATGGGCTCACAGAAGTCTGGGAATTATAGGAAAAGAAGAGTACTCTTTTTGTTCTTTTTTTTTTTTTTTTTTGAAGGGTCATTACTCCAAAGTCCTCTTATCTATTAGGTGCACAGAAAACTAATCAGAACACGAGTGACATGAAAACTCATAAAAATCATCTCCTGAGCACATCCTGTGCAAGGTGAAACTACAAACCTGGCAAACACTGCAGTTCATGAGGTTAAAAAAGGGTGTTGAAAGTACCTATACCAGCATGCAAGGACACTGAAAAAATGACAGTTAAACTGGATGAGTGCCAAGGACCACAGCACTAAGAGTACTTCATAAGGCAATGGATGGAATATTAAAGGATTAGAGAAGATTCTGGAGAACCCCATGGCTTCTCCCCCTCCCACCAAAGCCAAGCCCTGTGAGACATTAACTATTTACTACTGCGGATGTAGTTTTGGTAGAAACATTATACCAACGATTACAAAAAAAAAACAGATCATAATTTTAGTTTAATTTGCAAGCTAAGAGTTCAACCAAAATTCTCCCCTCCATTTAATATGAAATTCAAATCTGCTTTTAGGGGGATCCAGTTTTTGAAGTGGTTTTTTTTTTTTTGTCCCATTTATTTCTATAATGAGCTCTTCTTCCAGCAAGGCAGCCCTGCTCACCTGCCTTTCCCACCCCTTTCACTTTAAAATCCTCACTCACCTGCTTTCGCAGTCTTCCGGTCTCTTTCTCCAAATGCACTACTAGGGCCACAGCTTCCTCTCCACTCTCTGGACACTGCTTCTGTGCCCAAGCCTGAATCTTCTCCGGCAGAATGGTGAGAAACTGCTCAATTACCAGCTGCTCGAGGATCTGCTCCTTGGAACGCATTTCTGGCTTCAGCCACCGGCAGCAGAGTTCCCAGAGTTTACTGAAAGCTTCGTGGGGTCCTGTCACGTCCTCATAAGAGAACTGCCTGAAGCACTTACGAAAGGACTCACATTCGGGGCTGCCTGATCCTTTTAGAATGGGCTCCGATGCCCACTCAGAGTCCCTCTCCACTTTCATTATGAGGCACTCCTCAACTTCCACGTCCATCTGAGGGCTCAGGACTGTAGCCATGATCCAACAGGTCGAGCTCCAAGTCAGGGCCCAGAGGAGCTTCCGAGGGCCCCCTACTTAATGTCCTTGGACGTCAATGGGACGGTAAAAGACAGCACGTTCGACGGAGCAAGGAACTCGATTGATTAGTCAAATTTGTACTAGGCTCTTGAAAAGGCGAATGTGCGTGCATCCACCCCAAAAGTCTGCAAACCCGGCCTCCTATTTAATTATGATGCGCCCCCTCCCTTGAGGTTCTTTAGGGTGCAAGGTCAGAAAGAAAACCAGGCGCTGGGCTGAAAGGGAACCCAGGGGAGTGATGATTGGATGGGCAGAGGCGCCGGCCGGGAGGGGGGTGTGTCCGTGCAGCCCCGGGGAGGCGCGGCCGGTCCAGGGGTCCTGGCCCGGGTCCAGGCCGCTGCAGGTGTCCAGCAGAGGCGGGAGTGCAGGAGGGTCCCGGACCAGGGCCGGGCTCTTCCGGGCTCCCAGCAGCGCCTGCAGCGCTCGGGGATGCTCCGCACGAGGCTGCCGAGAGCCTGGGCCAGGGTGAGGAAGCAGCAGCAGCAGCAGCAGCAGCAGGATGGTGCGAGGCCTCGCGGGGGGCAGCGACCTGCTGGCGCGCAGCCTCGTCAGCTCCGCCAGCGGAGTGCGCGGGGGGCGCTGGGAGCCGCGGCCACGCATGCGCCGCCCGCGACCGCGGACCCGAGCGAGGCTTCCTCGCGGGCAAGGGGAAGGCTGCGTGGAGGAGTCTCGCGAGAGCGCTCAGCACCGTGACTCGCCGCCGAGGGACTTTAGGACAGGGGGTGCGAGGGGGTGTTCTCGGGCGGAGGGACACGCTAAGGTCGGATCTCGTTCCTCCAGAGAGTGTGAAGCAGGGCGCGGAACGGCAGGGAGCGTCCTGCCTCAGGCCGGGCAGACGCCGCTGGCGGCTGGAGTCACTTCTTTAGTGGAAGGGGTGCGAAGGTGTATGGGTTGGTGTGTTGGGGTAGGAGGGTGGACGGACTCCTTTGTCTGGCGGAGGGATTACAATCAGCTCCCCGCAAGCCATCCAAACCTGGCCCGCAGTAGGGGAGTGGGAAGGAGACAAGTAGTGTCCCTGTTCCTCCTACTCACCGAGCTATGGCTCTGCTCCGTGCCTTCTGCCCTGGCCCAACTGGGGACCCTTTTCTTTGTTTTGGGGTGGGAGGGAAGTGTCTTGTGGCTGGCTCTGTCCAGATGAATGGTCAGGAGAAGTCTTATTTTTCTTTTGGGAATTTCTTAATTGCCCTAGGGTCTGGAAGGTCTGAGTGGCCAAGCATGGTCAAAAGGACTGTCTGGGACCTCGTAGGACCAGGCCTAGATCCCCCTACTGATGCAAAACTTCACAGTCAGTTGTTCCAGAACCTGCCGGTTCAGGAATACCCATCCTGAAAGTGCCTACTTTGTGACAGTGTTTTAGGCTCTTGGCATTCATTAATGGGCAAAGCAGATCTTAGTCTCAGGGGTAGGATAGCTTGTTAGAAAACATGGCAATGACATTTCTCAAAGGTGTGTGTGTGTGTGTGCGCGCGCGCGCGCCATTGTTTGACTAATTCTAGCATCGCAGAAGCATTGAGCACCGTATGTATAAAAGGCATAAGTTGAAAGAAGGCCAGGGGTAATCCCTGGGTACATCTCCTATCTGCCAGAGCATAGATGGAGCCAGCACACAGCTAGTCTTAATTGCATTTAAAAATAGTATTTGCTGAGTATTGGTTTCATATCAGACATGGTGATAGGTAGTAAGCAAAACCAGGACCCCCTACCATTAATAAGCCACAAATAATGTTCTGTGTAACTGTAGTCAATCCTTCCAAGAAAAGAAACACATTCTAGATTTGGTCTAGGTAAGAGGTCTGGGTAAGTTTCTTGGAAGAAGCATTACATGGGATGAGATCCAAGGAGAGACTAAGGAGGGATTGAGCAGAGCCTGGTCTTCACAAAAATCCCATAAAAAGGATGGAGTTGCCTCCGTTTTGGAGTTTAGGCCACTGAAACCCAGGTTCAGAGTCAGACAAGAACAGAGTCTATTACGGGCCTTTTGCCGGTGTTAAGCCAGGTGCGTGTCTCAGCAGCTCAAGGTCACAGACCTGAGAGGGAGATTTTAACTTGGAGTGAAGTAGAGTATAAGACAAGAGGGAGCAGGGTGTGGGGGCACATGCTTGCAATCCCAGAATTTAGGAGGTAGTAGCGTAGTCAGCAGGATTAAGAGTTCAGGGCTATTCTTTACCGCAAAGCAAGTTTTTAGGCCTGCATGGGCACAAGGAGCCCTGTCTTATAAATTTGCTAATTAAGTGTTATGTTTACTTGAGTATTTGGGAGCAGAAGAGCGCATTTGTCACCAGAGAAGTGAATCCACATGCAGGTCAATAAATGCAAGTTGGAGACATTGGAGAGTGGTTATTTTCTTAAGACCTCAATTTTCTGAGTGGATCAGAGGAATCTGTTGGGGATTGGTCTGATGCTTGTATTTTGATGCTAATTACTTGCTTTCAAGATCTGGTTATTGCCCTATTCTCGGTGTGTAAACCTGCCTAAGACATTATTCCTGATTGGTTAATAATAAAAATAAAAAGGCCTGTACCTGGGCAGGGCAGAAGGAGGTAGGTGTGGCTAAGGTTCTTCGGCTTTGGGGGACAGGAGAATCACCTGAAGGAGACAGTCGGGCAGACGGAAGACAGAAGGATAGAGGATACCATGATGGGTTTGCATGGGGAAGGAACCATGAGGGCTGGGAAAAAGGACTTCAAGGATGGCGTAAAAAGAAACTCCAAGATGAAAACTATAAGCATAATTGTAAAATTATGGATGGAAGGTAGCCCAGATAGGAATGGTTAAGGCAGATGACATTGGATGGGAGCTGAGAGATGGATGGGAAGGTTTTCGAGACATCTTAGGTGGAATATCTGCAATTATAAAATATAAAAGGAAAAAAAAATCTAAAAGCTATCTGTATCTTATTGATTGTGACAGCGGGTTAAATAATACTGCCCTAATAATTATAAGGATAATAATAAACATTACTAGCCCGACACCATTACGTTTTCAACATCAGGCATCCTTCTGTGATCCCAAGAAGACATTTAACCCATTGTTTCTTTGGTAGACCATTTCACCACAACGAGCATCTTCTCAGCAGCCCTACAGGGTTTCCTTTGCGGCTTTCCTGTCCATGGTGCTGACCCAGCCGCCTGTTTGCCTTCAGCTGAAGGAAGGAATGTAACTTAGTTTGGTTAATATGATTTAATGTAGGATGACTGTAAAAGTGACCATTAAATATGCATTATACAGCTGCAAGAAATGATGTGTATTTATGTGCCAAGTAAAGAGATAGCCCCACATTCCAAGCTGGAAAATGTCCCAGTAATACTGGTTAGCTTTCTTTCTTTTCTTTTTTTTTTTTTTTTTTATGCCCTCATAAGAGAAATATCTAGCTGAGACAAATACCACATGTATATTTATGTCTCTGTTTCAGACATGCATTTTTAAGTATTATTATTTTTAACAAAGGTAATTGTTCATTTCACAAATTAAAAGTTGCCTTCTCACTGGCTAATAGCAGTAATTGTCAGAATAATGTAAACTATCCTAGTTCTTAAGACAGTTGTAAGGACTGTTCAGCCATTCCCCTCCACACCAACAGACAGGACAGAAACAGACAGGGCATTGAATTTAGGGCCTTTGGTGTGCCAGTCAGCCTTTCTACCTCTGACCTATACTCTCAGCCCTCAGCTATTTCTTGAAATGTTCATTAGTTTCCAAAATATTTTTTTTGTGGGCTGGAGTGATGGATCTATGGTTATGAGTACTAGCTTTTCTTCCAGAAGACCCAAGTTCAACTACCAGCCCCCACACAGTGCTGTACAACCATCTTTAATTCCAGTTTGGGGCATTCATCACCCTTTTCTGGCCTTCTTGGAACACCAAGCATGCATGTGGTACACAGGCATACATGGAGGCAAAGCACTACTTATGCACATAAAATAAGCATAAATTTAACAGAATGGAATGCATGAGGCACCATGCTAGGCACTATTAGGATAGATAAATAATATGATCTAAGCCTTCTACTCAAAGTACAAAAATGGAGAAAGTTAGAATTTCCATTTATTAGAATGAATGTGGCTGAGGTATGTATGAAGGCCTATGATTATCACAGAATGTAAGTGTCTCAGGTGTGTCTTCCCCTGTGTGTATGTGTGCATACATGTTTGTGTGTATGGAGTATGGAGGTAAACTTTGAATGTCATTCCTTAGGAGATGTTGCTCTTAGTTATGGGGGACCAGGAGCTCACTGATGAGGTTAGCTTGGTTGTCCAGCCATTCTTTCTGTTTTTGTAATGCTGGGATTACAAACATGTGTCATCATGCTCAGTTTTTTTTTTGTTATTTTTAATTTTTTTTATTTATTACAGTTTATTCACTTTGTATCCCAGCTGTAGCCCCCTCCCTTGTCCCCTCTCAATCCCACCCTCCCTCCCTCTTCTCCACCCATGCCTCCCCTCCCCCCAGTCCACTGATAGGGGAGGTACTCTGCCCCTTTCCTCTAATCCTAGCCTATCAGGTTTCATCAGGACTGGCTGCATTGTCTTCCTCTGTGCCTTGGTAAGGCTGTACCCCTCTGAGGGGGAGGTGATCAAAGAGCTAGCCACTGAGTTCATGTCAGAGACAGCCCCTGTTCCCATTACTAGGGAACCCTCTTGGACACTGAGCTGCTATGGGCTACATCTGTGCGGGGGTTCTGGTTATCTCCATGCATGGTCCTTGGTTGGAGTATCAGTCTCAGAAAATACCCCTGGGCCCAGATTTTTTGGTTCTGTTGCTCTCCTTGTGGAGCTCCTGTCCCCTCCAGGTCTTTCTATCTTCCCCTTCTTTCATAAGATTCCCTGCACTCTGGCCAAAATTTGGCTATGAGTCTCAGCCTCTGCTTTGATACCCTGCAGGGTAGAGTCTTTCAGAGTCCCTCTGTGGTAGGCTCCTGTCCTGTTCCCTGTTTTCTCCCTCTTCCGAAGTCCACCCCATTGCCTTTCTGAATGAGGATTGAGTATCTTACCCAGGGACCTCCTTTTTGATTACCTTCTTTAGGTGTATAAATTTTAGTATGTTTATTCTCTAATATATGTCTAATATCCACTTATAACTGAGTATATACCATGTTTGTCTTTCTCATTTTGGGATACCTCACTCAGGCTGATCTTTTCTAGATCCCACCATTTGCTTGCAAATTTTATGATTTCCTTGTTTTTAATTGCTGAGTGTATTCCATTGTGTAATTACACCACAGTTTCTGTATTCATTCCTCACCTGAAGGACATCTGGGTTGTTTCCAGATTCTGGCTATTACAAATAAAGCTGCTATGAACATGGCTGAGCAAATGTCCTTGTTGTATACTTGAGCATCTTTTGGATATATGCCTAGGAGTGGTATAGCTGGA